GGCCAGATTCACAGTTATGAATCCCCAGGAGGGAAGAACCCATTAGAGGAAGAACACTGCATTTCGGGATGAGTGTGGTTCACCTGGGGACTTGGGTGTGCAGATGGGCTTTAACTTCTGCAGCAGGCATCTTTATGTCAAGTATTCTATGTGAGTCAGTTTTCTATTACTGTGGCAAAATACCTGGCATAATCAACTGAAAGGAGGAAAGACTGATTTTGGCTCAGAGTTTTGAGATTTCAGTCTATGGTTGCTTAGCACCCACTGTTTCCGGCTCTGTGGTGGAGCGGAAGATCATGCTGCAAGTGTGATGGTCATGTCATCGTGGCAAGAGGAGAGAGAGAGGAAGAGGCAGGGGTCCCAACACTGCCTCCAAGGGCACAGCCACAAAGACAACCAGGTCTCACCTCCTCAAGGTTCTACCACCTCCCAAAAGGACCATGGGCTGCAGATACGTCTTCAACACATGGGTCTTTGAGGAATAGTCCCGATCAAAACTACAACAGACTCATTCTATCTACAACAGTAAGAAAGGACTGCTTGGTGTCAGGCAGTATAAGATCAGCTGGCAGAGCTCACTGGAGAACACAGGGCGCCCTGGCTGTGGCCTCTGGAATGGAGACTGCAGGATGGGGAGAGCAGTGGTCTGCTTGGGCCTGGCTCTGACCTCAGCTCTGCTACCACCCGGCTGAGTCCAGGGTGGGTTCATGATCTACTGTTAGATCTGACACCACTGTAGATTTCTGAGCCATTTTGCCATCTCTTTGCAGTGCAGTCTTTTGGTTTCAAGCGCACAGGAAACAACACAAGCTTTTCAGAGAGCTGCCTACCAATGTGCCATCCAGCACCCGTCTCTGTCTGCTCCCTGCTAACCATTCTTGCCCGGTTCTCACTGCTTCCTTCTTGGTGGTGGGACGGATCCATATGTGTGCTAGCTAGGGTTGAACCAGACAAGGGTCCTTAAATGTCCTTTCATCTCTACTGTGCTCCTTTTCCACAAACCGTAGGACCCATATCCCATCCTTCCTTTTTCATAAAGCTTTTCTAGAATGTTGCAATCCCTGGTAAACTTTTCCCTAAAATTCATCTCATTATATATACCATGCAAGTCCCATAGTCATCCAGGAGCCTCTCTTCTAGTTTTTTATCTCAAGCTGCTATTTAACTCCTGGATATTCTTTACCTTTTAAAGTGTTTGTCTTTTTTCTCTTGCCAATAATTTTGTTCTATATTTCTATAAATATCTATGGTAATTTAACTGGACACTCACTAGGAGCCAGGCCTCTTTAGAGTACTATGCATGCATTATGTAATTTTATCTTTTCAACAATATACAAGACAGGTGCTGTTATTATTCTTACTTTACAGGTGAGGAAACTAAGGCACAGAGAGGCTTAATAAATTCTCCCAGGTCACAGAGTGAGTGACAGAAGTCAGGCAATCTGACCCAAAAGCGCTGTGTCTTCAGTCATTTTACAGATTCCCATGGAATTTTATGGTGTTTGTGGACTGACTGGTGCTGATTTATCTCCAGGAAACACTGCCAATGTGAATGAGGAAAACAAGAGTCTGACCCCACTCCACACACCACGCTCCTTCTCACCTTTGCTTCTCTTCTGTGTGATTCCAGAAATAACACTTTCAGCTGCCATCCTGAAAGGGCTAATCTTAAAATTTTCACATCTTAGGGAAAATCTATCCTATGAAGAGTCCTTAGATCATGCCTGTATCCTGACAGATGGACAGAGTGTCATACGCACCTCTAGTCTGCTGCCCAACTCAGGGCTTGGCTTCAACAGATGCGCATGGTGAGTGTGGGGGTAAGTGAAGCTAGTCTTGCATGGAAGTAGCTTGTCAGTTAGAACACAAATCTGGGCTGCTCAGACTTTTTGTCGAAGACCTCATAAATTTAAAAGATGCTGTCTCACCTCCATCTGCCTGCTCCCTCTATTCAGTTCTCCCTTTTAAGTTTCCCTGCAGGAGGACATATGGGGCTATGTAGAAAGGAGGAAATGACCCTTTGCTTATTGTTCCACAAACAAATATACTGCTTGTGTATACATTGCAAATATTTAAACACAACTCTCCATATTTATTGTTCACGTTCATTGTGTAATGTTTATGTTCCATATGGCTTATCCTTCGGTGCAATATGCATGCTTCACAACACTTCTGTGGGAGGGCGGATGCCTCACCAGCAGAGGGACTGGTTTCCTTATGACAGAAGAGTCCATAGGAAGCAAAATGACCAAACTTTTCCGAGGAGGGTTAATGCTTCCTGACCACAATTCAGTTCTACCATTATTGACGTGCAGATGGAGACAAGGTACTTTCTTTGGGAAGTTTCTTCTATTCCGGAGCCCTTGCTATTTGGTCTAATCTAATTCTCCTTTATAATGCACCGAAGCAGGAGTGGCTCTCAATATATGCATGCTTAATGAACAGCTTCTGTGCTGCAGTAATTGCTGTAACTGTTTCTGTTGATGATAATCTCAATTACCTTGTGACCAACAGTTATTTGTCCGTGCTTCTCTGTAGGCAGTGTATACAGCTATCTCCAGTATCTACAGGAGATGGGCCCCCGGCCCCCTACCAAAGTTCCAGGATGCTCAGTTCTTTTATAAATATGGTAGAATATTTTCATACAATCTATACATATCTTCCCATGTCTTTTCTACATTAGTTATGATTTAAAATATAATGTATATGTTGTATAAATAGCTCTTATGCTGTACTGCTTAGGGGATAACAAGGTGAAATGTCTGCACATGTTCAGTCCAGATGCAATTAAAAACTATTTTCAATCACTAGTGTTTGACTCCATGCATGTACTTATAGAAAGCTGACTGTCCTTTTTGGTTCTATTACCTTTGAGATCGTTGCATGATTTGCTCTGGCCAATGGGACACGAGCAGATGTAATGCCAGCCACGTGCAAGCATAAGCCTGGAATTGCTTGTGTGGTGCAGATCTGTAACTTCTTTTGTGAGGATCTGCCCCTGCCAAAAGAACAAGGCTGGCATGGTGGCTGCTTCTACAATCTGGTTGGTTCATCCCAGATCCCTGAGGAGTCCAGAGATCCTTACTGACCAACCTTCTTGTCTGCTAGGGGCCAGGTATACATGTGACTGATTGTAAGTCACTGAACATTTAGGATTGCTTGTTCTGAGGCAAAAGGTGAATGATGCACTCTTTTATTACACTGTCAAGTTCCTCAAGTTAAAAGATGGTGTTTACCTTTAAAATATGCCCTAAACTCAACACAGCTGTAAAATTCAGGGCCCTAATAAGTACTCACATACCAGGGTAAGATTTATTATGCTCATAGCAGCCTTGTTAGCTGAAGCTTGGGATTAATTCATAGTTTTCATCACTGACACATTGGCTGTGCCATTATAAGCTCCTTAGAATTATGTTCGAAGTCAGTCTCACCCTCTCTTCTTACCCTTTCATGTCAGTCTGTTGGGTTATGGCTGAGTCATTTGGGCTTCACAAAACTGGAATTGCATGCTGGGCACTACATATACTGTTCCTGTTCCTGAGCTCCCCCAAATGTTTGGGACCAAGTAGAGGAAGTCTGTTTTCCGAGTGTTCATGTGGCTCAGCCCTGTGCTGCTTTTGAGCTTGAAACCACCTACAATCTTTGCCCAGACAGTCCTACTGCAAAGGAAACAATTCATTTCCTTCTTTTATTTGGTAAATTCTCTACCTTGTCTAGAAACCAATCTAGTCATTGTACAGAAATTAGAGACACTATAAGACAGAATTGTGAGCTTTGAGACACCCTTAACATAACTGACTGTGTAAAAACGTAAGAGAAGGATAACACAACTTTTAATTCTTTGAAAGAGGTGGTGTAATATGGTAGGTAAGTGCTGGGCTAGAACTTGGGAGACTTGGCTCTAGCCCTGGCTTTCCTACTGGTTAGTTAAGCCGCAGGGAGATCTTTCTACTGTGCTGTTCATGCAGAGAAAGAGACCAGTAGGTTGATACAGGGTTCCCCATGCTCATGTGGCTTTATGACTCTAAGAGCTATTACTGAGCAGCATAAACATGACCAGGAGCTCAGTGCATGGGCAGATAGCAAGGGCAGTGTGTTCAGAGGGCCTGTGTGTTTTCCTATCCCTTGCTCCCATCTCCAAGCTAGTCTGCTTCCACCTAGGCCCACGTGTCTCCTAGTCTGGAGTCATGAGTTACGATACGGGTGCTGACATAAGGGTATGTCAACAAGCCTAGAATTTTCTCCAAATATCACAAATTGAAGAAGGATTGAAGGGAGTTCTCCAGGAGCATGGGAGCTGGGATTTGCTGGAGTTGATGCAGGTACCCAAAGCTGCTGTGCTCATCCCAGTGGACCATCCATAGTGGGCAGGAGAACTGTGGATGTGGCCAATACTTCAATGGACAATACCTCCCTTCGCCAGAAAAAGGAAGCTGAGTGCCACTCCACGGGAAAATGAGTCTTCTCATGACAGGTGGGGGGTTTGTGAGAGGACTTCGGATGAGATCTCCCATTTGACAAGAAAGGAGGACAAGACTGAGAGAAATGGCAAGGCAAAACCTTCAGAGCATCCAGTGATGCTTTCTGATATTGTTTGGAAAAATACAGAAGGCAGAGATAATCTTACTGGCTACAATCCCCTGTGAGCTTTGGGGATTAGCCAGCTCTGATCCCTTGGCTCTTTTGCAGCAAATGTATTTAAATTCCCAGTCTGAGCCTGCAGGCTGCTCCCATGGTGCAGGGGTTGCTGTCTTTGTGTAGCCTGGATTCCTCTGGCTGTGTGGCCACTGTGAATTTTGTCCAGGTTTTCATAAGACAACATGTGTTTGGATGCACTTGCATGAGAACCTGGTTCTTTACATGAAAGAGATTCATTTTTAAGAAAACGCTCCAATCGTAGGAAATCAGGTTCCTCTGAAAAGTGCTCTTGGCAGTTTAGCCAAGGGAAGTGGAAGTTCTGACAAAGTAACACGGTAGATAGGAATAACAGCGTTACTTACTTGGGACTCCAGACACCAGTCGCAGCGGGCGCAGCACACGGAAAGCCCTCAGCGCTTTCACATCAAATCCAGCGCCTTTCCCTCCTAGAGCATTTGCCCCATCTGCTTTGGTTGCTTGTTCTAAAATTGCACTAAAAAGCCTAGAAAAGAGGTAAAGAAGAGGTGTCAAGACTGGGTTTTGTCATCCAGCTGAGGCTCTGATCGCTGCATGAAGCCTGAACTAGCAGAGTTTGTAGACACCACGATACGACCACGGGAGTTCACACAAGTGGCTTTAGTTGACATTTCCGCAGGGAGGCATCATCTACGCTGAGGGTGTCACTAGAGCTTAGAGAGGGATGGGCCAGGGAAGGGGTGGGCCCTTTGCCATCTGAGAGGCGTCAGTACACATCTGGCTTTGGACAAGTTGGGGATCCTGAACATAAGTATAAAGCAGGGGGCATGAGCTTTTTGGGGGTGCCTTCACACACCCCACCATGCTCCCTCTCCAGTGAATGCCAGGAGCCATATGTGCCCTCTCCTTTCCCACTCTCTGCTTCCTAACACACCCCACCTTTTGATTTCTTCCAGGGCACACATAAGTAATCTTACAGAAGTCTACTTTATGCTGATGCAAATGCTCAGAAGCTATAGGCTGAAAGAATAAAGAATCATGGCAGGTTCAGTGAAAAAGTTTCTAGTGGAAGCAAAACTACGCGCTGAAGCACATGTCTGAGATGGAGATTTCAGCTCAGACACTTTTTGTCTGTACTCCCAACAGAATGAAGACCTACTATGCACTAGGCCCTGTCCTAGGCCCTGGGGTTACAACAAAATGGGCAAAGCACTTATTTTCATCCTTAGGGGAGACAGAAACTGAGCTTGAGTGAAGAGATACAGTACGTTTGGAGAGCTGTAAGTGCTAACGACAGGAAAGTGCAGGCAAGGGGGGCCCACAGTGACAGGGGAGGGAGGCTTCCTTTTTATACAAGGCTGGGAATGGAGCGCTGCTCTGGTGACACCTAGCAGAGACCTAAGGATAACAAAAGTGTGACCCTGTAGCTGTGTAGGGTGACTGTTCCAGACCGAGAAGAGTTGATGCTGGTGCCCAAGAAGGGGCAGACAGTTAGAAGCTCACAAGCCATCAGTAAGGCTGGGCACAGGAAGTAAAGGGCAGCATGAAGGGAGGTGAACTCAGAGAGGAAAGAAGAAACCCAACTGGTGCTTACTTTCTGTGGGATGGAAATCATCCTGAGCAGGAGAGTGACATATCTGACTAAAGTTTTGAAAGAGTCATTCTGATGTTGAAGGAGAAAAATAATCTATAGCGGGCAGGCTGAGCAGGCTACTGCAATATTCCAGGTAGATACTGGGGACTTAAACCAGGGGGTGGTGCTGGAGGGAGTGAGAAAGAGTCAGAGAAGATGGGGTTTGTTGATGGACTATTTGTGACATATGAGAAAAGAGAGGAATAAAAGATGGCTCCAACATCTTGCTTGAGCAGCTAGAAGGATAGCCAGGGCTTGACTATGGACCTTTTAAGATTGGAGCTGTTGATCAGGCACCTAAATGGGTGTCCTGAGTTTCTCTACCATGTCTGGAAGTCAAGGGGAAAGTCCATGCTGGAGTCCAACACTTGCTAGCTGTATAGATTGTATTTGAGGTTGGGTCATGCAAAATCACTCAGGAAGCTACTGACAAAGGTGAAGACACATGAGGAATGAATATGGGCATCTCCAGCACTGACAAGGAAACAGAACAGATACCAACTAGAGATCAGTAAGGAGGGACTTGTGGGGCCGGGGAAGAAGAGAGAAAGATGTGCTGTGAAAGTGTGGCCAGCTGGAAGGCAGTGCTTAGTTTTGTCTAACATAGCAGATAACATGGGATGGGAAGCTGACCAAGGAATTTAGCAAAATGAAGACCATGGAGACCTACAAACATCTGTCTGATGGACCAACAGGGGCAAAAGCCTAATAGATTACAGGGTTAAGAAAGAATGGAGAAGTTTGGGACAGTGAGCACAGACAGCCCCATCCAAAGGAAAGACAATGTCAGCCGCACGTGAGCCATGTATGTAATTTAACTTTTCTGGTAGCCACATAAAAAAGTAAAAGCAAACAGGCGCAATTAACTTTGGCAACACATTTTTATCTAACCCAAGAATGCCAAACTACTACCACTGAGTTGCCCCATGGAATACATTTTTAAAATGATTCATGAGCTTTTCATTCCTTTTTAAATCTTTGGCGTACGTTGTGTATTTTGCACTTACTGCATCTCAACTCAGATTATCCACATTTGAAGGGCTAAATGGCCACGTGAAGCTAGTGGCTACTGTACAGATGATTCTCTTGAGGAATTTTACTGTAAAAGTGAGCAGAATAAAAAAGGCGATTATTAAAAGTGAGTGTGGAGTCAAGGAGTTTCGATAGGGAGGTAGCGTAGTGCACTTGTGGAGATGGGAGTTATCTCACAGACAGGAAGCAGGACGGCGCACAGGCAAAAGGGAACAATTCCGGGGAGAACTGGCGTCCTTCGGCAGGTGGTGGGGGGGCGACAGCTGCACACTGAGGGCGCTGCCTCGGACGAAGGAGCAGCTGAACAAGGTTCAGATCAGGAGCCGCATTAGAGACGGACAGATGGGACTGTGGACAGCGATGACTGTCTTCATTTTCTCAGGAAAAGAGGTACCAGGCTCATCAGCTAAAAATGTGAAAGGGAAGAGGGCACTAGACCTTTGGAGGGACAGGCAAACGTAGGAAAGAATCACCTAAGCGAGTGAACGGATGAGTGGGGCAAGAACATGAGGCAGGAGAGGCAGCATCACCAAAGCCTGGCTCCAGGTCAGGTCACGAGTGTGAAGCGAGACTCAGCCCAACACTGTGTATTTATCCACCCTTCTCTGTTGAAGTAAGTCTCGTCTAGTTGGATTGTATTAGGATTGGTGTTTTTCTAGGTGAGCAAATAAACGAAGAGGGGAACACAGAGGCTGAGTATACACTTCTGAGTTGCTGTTATGATGGAGCCTGACGGCTAAGTGGGTCAGAGGCGGTGACATGAGGGCAGGGAAACAGTAAGAAGGTGGTAGGATGCGTGAATAGTGGGAGTCAGGGTGCAAGAGGGCGGAAGATGGAAAGAGGGGTGGTGTTGGATATAGAGTAAGACGTTAGGTCTGAGGTTACAGGGAGGGTACAGTTATTAGTTATGCCGTGATGCTGTCTATAGCCCAGGGAGCAGGCAACTGAGACAGGTGGAGGTCAGAATCCCCCGGAGAAGACATCAAGGGACCAGGAAGCTGGTGGCTGCCTGATGGAGGAAGTACAGAGTGCTGGAGAGTCAGCGTGATCCCGCGTGAGGTCTACAGAAGAGCGACTCAAAGGTGTGCAGAGCACTGCTGTAAGGAGTAGGGCACAAAGAGCAAAGCTGGAGGGCTTCAGAAAAGAAAGGCAGGGACCCTCCCCATCTCCGTCAGAATGACGCATCTGGGAGAGAAAGTGGCTGCCTCCCCCCAGAGGCTGCAGGGCAGGCAGGGGAGGAGAGGGACCAGAAACAAAGCGGAGGACTTAGGGCGTGAGTTGGGCCACCTGATTTGCAGGGAAAGTGTTACTGGAATTCAGGTTCACGCTGTCATTTACGTATCACTGTTTTCCTGCTGCAGTAGCAGACTCCAGCAGTGGTAAACACTGCATGTCGCACACATCTAGAAGTGGCATCTGGCCCTTTTCAGACAGTATCTGGAGCCCCTGAATTAGTGGCAGTCTGTAGGGAGCAGAGGGCACAGTATGGCAGGAAGGTTTAAGGAGTTAGGTGGAGCTAAGAAAGGACTGAGACCCAAGGCTACTCGAGCCAGACAGGAACAAGTGTTCCGGGCTTTGGGTGGTAACCAAGAAAAAGGCTAAAGTGCAGGAGGGGCACTTTCTGTCTTTATCCCTAGAGAGGACTCTCCAGAGTCACTACCAGCAGAGCACTTGAGGAGTCCTGTGTCTGCCTTAGTGTGACCTGGGGTGGAGAAGAAAGACCAGACAGAGCTCAGAGCTACGCAAGGCTGGGGCAGGGAGGGGCAGGTCTGCGTTAAAGATTTTCAAACTGCTCCACGGAAACCCTCAGGGACACCCTGCGCCTCAAGGCCAGAGCCGCACACCTGGCTGCGGGTGCCTCTACTGCACAGCTTCTCCTGTGTTATAGGTACTGCACTCTGAGTAAGGCTTTGTTTGGACAATCGGTTCTGTAGTTATAAAGATCTGTGCAGCTTGCATGAGGCTTTGGCTCATTCTGAGAGAAAGCAGGGGCAGGGTTGAGGGAGGCAGGGGACTGGGGCTGTAGCTGTGTGGTACATTTGCCTCACATATGTGAGGTCCTGGATTCCACCTCCAGCACCACAAAAATGAGTTAAAATAAATAAACACATAAATAAATAAAATGAAACAATATTAATAAGGTTAGCCAGACCATGTCTAACATCTCCTAGCTCTTACATTCTCTTCCTCAGCCTGCCAATACGATGGTTTCATGTGTTAGTTGGATTTCTACGCCTCGAATCCCAGACAGAAGTTACCAGGATGGGGGAGTAGGTTTCTTTTCCTGTGAAGGAAATGTTTTTTTCCACTGAAATCTAGATCTCAGAAACCTGAGGAAATCAAGACCAGTTTTGCAAGTTGGTCAAATAACAGTCCAAATCCGAACCAGATTTTGTTCCCAGAATTTCCTGGAAGAAAGCAATATGCTTATTGGAGTACAAGATGTTCACAAAATATTATTCAGAAAAGGGAGCCGAGATTAGATTACTTTTTTCTTTTTTAACCCTTACTGCCAGCTAAGACTCTTTATTGTCCGATTTTAATTTTGAAGGGGTAGACAACTCATAAATGGGTGTCGGAGCTGTTCTTGGCTGAGTTTGCAGGGCATTAAACCTCTTTTCTTTCTTTAAACCTCTATTTTCTTTTCTTTCTTTTTCTTTCTGCAGTACTGAGAATTGAATCCAGGGTCTTACACTGAGCTAAATTGTCAGCCCTATTTTATTTTATATTTTGAGACAGGGTCTTTCTAAGTTGTCCAGCGTGGGTTTGAACTTATGATCCTCCTGACCTAATTCCTAGAGTACCGAGATTAGAGGTGTGCATCACTGTGACTGGCTACACTGGAGATTTTAAGAAGCTCAAGAAGGTCAAGAAGCAGAGAGGCAGGGTTGCCATATTGGGAAGGAGACAGGACAACAAAAGGCTTTGTGACTGCACAGAATCTCTTCAGGGGGATCTACTGAAGTGTCCTCATGTCTTGAGTTGGGGCAGGGGTAGGTGCTCAAAGACCTCTGAAGTCCTCTCCTCTTACATTCAGTGGTTCCATCTACCTAAGAGATTCTTCTGCTTTGAGACTGCACCACCAGAATGGGAACATGGGAATGCAGAGGTGTGTGTGTGTGTGTGACTGTACCACAGAAACCAGGACATATTAGGCAAGCCAACCTTCTTTCAGGGCAAATCAGACTAGCCTTCTGATTTGTAGGAGGCCAGAAAAAGCCATCATCTGAGTAGCTATCTGTGGCCCACAAAAGCAGGTATTTCCCAAAGGACACTGGAAAGCAGGGGGACATCTATTTAATGTTGTCAAGGGGGTAGAAAAAAGAGCTACTGCCGGAGAGAGGTGGTGGGGGATGGGGGTGGGGGACTATTTCTCTAGGTAGAAGGAGGTGATTTAGACTGAATGGAGACGTTCTTAGTCCCACGCCTCTGGAGAAGAGAAACTAGAGGTTATAGATTGCCATAGGTAAGACTGAGAGGAATGAACCCCAAAGTTGTGAACCACAAGCCCTCCCTTCCAGTATGCCCATTCAAGGGCCCCCACTTTTCTTGTCTCCATTTCCCATGAGTAGGGGACAGCACATGGAGTCAAACCCAACCCCTTCCATAAACATGAGAAGAAAATGTAACATCTCTGCTTAAACTAAATGTATTTTGCAAATTGTTCCATCTCTCCACTGGCTCCAAAGCATCAACTCTCATTTCTGAGGCTCTGTGCTTGCACTGCAGGTTCCCAGGGGACTGAGGCCTTGAGAAAGAATCTGAGCTTAAAAAGCAGGAGGGGCACTTTGAACTACCTACTCTGGGGATCTCTTCTGTGGTTTACTGAGTTCATTCGAGGCATTTGTTCAGCCACTCTGTATTTATTCTGGTATGAAGAGAAGCAGCAAAACTTCTCATGTCATCTACTCTCAACCCTGAGTCCCTTGTGGCCAGATCTATGCATAACAAATAACCTTAGTGCTCTTTGGGTCACCTAAACATCCCATGTCCATGTGACCAAAGTGCATCACTTATTAACTGGGCAATATGAGGACAACACAGGACAAACCCTATCACCGCTCCAAACAACTCTTACGGCCATCCAGATGGCCACAGGCAAGGAAATAACCTGTGAGTGATCTTGATTTGCTCTTGTGTTATTTCCTGCAGTACAGGCCAGGCAACCCCCCTAAGATATGAGTGGTGAGTGCCCTGGAAAAGTTCACAGTGGCCTGGGTCTCCACTGAGATGACACAGAAGGAATTGCCAGAAACAGGTTCCTGGAACAAGAGCCTCTCAACAGCCTGTCCTTGACACTGAAGCCTGCTGGGACTGGAGAGAATCAGTGTAGGGTGGCCAAGGGCTCCAAGTGATAGCAGACTAGCTCGGAGGAAGCAGCCTTTCTTGAAGTAGGAGCTGCTGAAAAGGCCACCTGCTTCTGTAAAACACAGATGAGCTGTTGGAGCTTCTTCCACTCCACCTTAATGAATTATATTTTGCACAGCACATATGTAAGCCTGTTAGGCACAAGTATTTTATGGAGAATCTTTTCATGAAGTCACTAATTTTTTGATAAAGAAGTCATCACTCCAAAATTTTATTTAAGATTCATGACACTGCTTTTTTAAAGCTTCTACTGATACCTTAAGTTAACATGAAGCCGTGTTTGGAGAATGGTCCCTCCTGTCTGGGTTTAGTTACCTATCACCTTGGCCTTTCAGAGTTACCTGTCTTCTTACCCAGATGTGCTGATGAGTCTGGTTTCTTGGGGTTACAGCACAAAGTCACTGTGGAGGTGACAACAGCGGGGAGTTCAGTATGCACAGACATCCTATGCTCCTGCCTTTACCCCATGCCCACAGATGCATGCTTCCAAGAAGGCTGACTGTTCTGCTCAGTGATACAGAAGGGGAATAGGTCAGGGGCTTTCTGGGTCAGGTGTAGCCGGAAAGGAAATAACAGAGGAATTCCCTCAATTGCATGAAAGACTTTGGTTCCATTAAGACCACTCAGATTCAAGTGTATGTGCATATTTCTCTCTGTGCATGTGTATGCATGATGTGCGCATGTGGATGTGTGTTTTCACGTGCTCATGTATGTGGGAGCAGGGTAAAAGGCATCTTAGGTAACAGCTCCTCTCCCTCTGGAGAGAGTCTGAATTCAGAGTGATTCTTAACAAATCCTTTCACTGTGTCGGAAGGCAAGTTCAGATGCATCCAAATCAAAAAGAGGCATGAATGCAGAAGGAAAATGGTGTGTACAGGGAAGGTGGGAGACAGGAGGAGAAGGACAGCAATACTTACCCTACAACCACAATGATAAAATCTAGTAAATTCCAACCATTGCGGAGGTAAGCATTGGGGTGAAAGAGAAGTCCATAGGCGATAACTTTTAAAAATGCTTCCACAGTAAAAATTATGAGAAAGAGATATTCCACTCGTTCCTAGGAAACAAAAATAGGAAAGAGATTTGTAAAGTTAGGGTAGGTTAGGGATTTGTAAAGTTCTGAGCCAACAAACCTCACAAGCATAGTCATACACGCCAAAACGACATGTCGGCCAACTACAGTGGTATCTTGGTTCACGAACTTAATTCCTTCTACGGTTCTGGGAATGATGGCCATGGCTGTGCTCCTTTGGGAAAAATGGCTGCAGCCATGTTCATCGCCCAAAGCAGGGTTTGCAAACAAAAATGAAACTCGTCTAAGTGCTTCTGTTTGTGAACCAAATTATTTGCAAACAAAGACATTTATGAACTGAGGCACCACTGTACAGCTGCACACACCACAGTGGTCCCCAAAGATTCTGCTACCAAGTGCCACTGAAATGCTTGGTATTATGTGTGAACTCAACTCTATGATGTCCTCACAATGGTGAAATGCTTAGGGACTTATATCCCAGAGGGTTCATCATGAAGTGACACATGTCTATGGATGGAAGAGAATGCTACTCCTCTGTAGTAGGACCTAGGGGAACACTGAGTGGGACTCCCAAGCCAAGTTATCAAATCCACAACTTTTTCCATGTTAGAGCTCAATACACTAAGAATTAAAGAATATATCTATACACCTATATATCCATATATACCTCTCTCTCAATCCCGTTAAAATGCAAATATAAGAGAGGTGTAATCATTCACATTTTTAAAAGAAATGCCTCATTTATCTAGTTAGCATTTTATTGTACCTTCTTAGAAGAGAACTTATAGTGTCTTGATCTACAGGGAATCAGTATAAGGATAGAGAAGATGCTGAGAAAGGGGGTGAGGCAGAACCCCAGGAAAACTGTGCCACAATTCAACAATAATTAACCCCCAGGGTAACAGACATAGTTCTGGGAAAGGCACTAGCTAGGTTCTCTCAAAGACACAGCCACAAAGAAATCAAGACATTGAAGATCTCTTCATAGCAGCCAAAATAGAGATAACCTGCTTACACACACAGATTCAGACAATTGAAATGTTTCTTAAGAAAATAAAACTCTGTCCAAAGATACAGGCCAGTTCAGCAGAGAAAACCAGCAGTCTTAGAGTGGGGCTGGCAGTGGGCAGGTGGTGATGGAAAAGCCAGTTCTTTTCTCCCCCTGCTAATTAAGAGAAAGGCTTTGTATTTAAGGATGGGAGGCCAGGACAGACTCTTTGCTCAATTAGAACGAGCCGAATCCCTGTGCTGATGCACTGCTTCCCTCTCCACTAATTGCTTCCCTCTCTCACCCTCAGTGCAGCATCTTAATGGCCTCACCAGGGAAGGCTGCCCGCTCGCATCCATGCCCCACTGATCACCTCTGCAGGAGCTTCCCGTTGTCTCTCCCAGACAGACACAGAAGAGCCCAATCACACTGCATTTGGGTGCAGGTCCTCCGAAGCTCTGCAGGAACCTCCGCATGCCTAGAAGGCACTCAGTGCAGAACTCTCAACCCCTTTCTGTCCTCTGCTGGGTAGAAGAAGCTCACTTCAGATACTCTAGCCCACCCTCACTCACACAGGGGAGGCCCAAGAAGTCCCATGTCCTCCTGCCCAGCTTGCTGGGAGAGTGCCCCAGTCTGGGGTACTAGGAGCCCAACAGGTGGCTCTGCAGGAGAGGCACTCTGTATCCCCAGGCACTGTCACCCGTTCCGAGACCTTTGGTGAGCCTCACTGTGGCCAGCTCTGGCTGAAATAGTTTGAGAAGACTGAGGCAAAAACTGTTGAATGATGGGCTCTGCCAAGGCCCACTGCAGCAGATCTTCTGCTGCATTAGTATTCAGGTGAATATCAGCATCAGTAATCAGTATGACGCTTCCAGGTGAGTGATGGCACCTGGGGGCTTAAGGACCACTGGTTCACATGAAGGCCTAATCAGCATCTCAGAGACAGACACATCCTTTATTTCCCACCCATTTTAGCAACATAAAATTGATGCTGTGGCCGTTTTTGAACTGTGACTCGGGAATAGTCCACACTGTGTGGGGCATCAGTTTTTTCAAATTAGGTGATGTAGGGTTAGAGTGTGCATGAGGGCAGTAATAAAAGGGAAGCCATGGTACAAAGGGCCCAGTACAACTTGAGGATGCTCACGGAAGTTGACAGGGGCGGGGCCAGCTGTTAAACAGCCATTCAGCCCAGTCCACTCACCTCACCACCCTGAAAGTTCAGAAATTTCATGTTTAGTGCTAAGTAACTGGGGTATCCCTGTATGTACTTCCAGAAACCAAACACAAGTTGGGTACCATTGGGTGTCAGGTGCCTTCATGTATTCACATATGAGCTTGCTCTTACACTTTTGTTCACTTGCCAATACATGCTCCATCCATCCATCCAATCATTCATGACTACCGTAGTAGAAACAGTTATAGTGTCAGAACCAACCCTGGAGCTCCCTCTGGGCTGAAGACAGTGAACTTTCTGGAGGCGACAGATGCTAACCTCTGAGTATCCTCCTCCATCACAGGGAGAATAGTGAGGGTTCAAAGGCTGAGGATCTTGTATGCAAGGAAGCTGGCATACCCAGACAGCCTCTTATAAACAGCTGGCATCCCAATCCAGATGGCCTGGCACCAAGCAGTATGCTTATTCTCTCATACACAAAGATCACTTTCCTTTGCTTAATTTGCCCTATAAAAAGTGAGGGCCTTGGGGACCAAGGAGTCCCCCTCGGGAATGCAGACTTTCAGGCTCAGCAGTATCCCGGACCTGCCACACCACTTTGTGGGATGGAGGATTAGGGAACTTGGGACCTCTTATTGAGCTTGGCTTATATACATTTTTCCAGGAAAGAGTATTCCTTACCCCACTGATGTGTGTTCCAGACCCTTGCACAGAACACACAGATGCAGTAGGACCCCTTGAGTGAGCAAGCACAGGCCACTTAATCACACATTCGATCACACACAGACCTGCCTGTATGCCGCTGGCTGCTGAAGCTTTCAAGAAAAGGGCTCAGAAACTGAGCTCCATGGTACGTGGTGGTGAGAAGAGGGGTGCAAGGGGTCAGATGTTTCTAGTACAACGGGTGAGTGGAATTTTGGAGACAAGCACGGTTGGGCAGAGAAGGGCTTTCCAGGGTAAGGACCTCTGATTGAATCAAAAAGGGGGAGGAGCCATCCAGGTGAGGGGGTTAGGGGATGTGGAAATTTGGGCATGGGTCAGGTATGCAGGTGGAGGGAAAACTGATGAGACAGAAAGCCACATGTTTGCTTTTTCTAGAATGAAGGGATAGAGGGAACAGGCCAGGGGGTAGTCAGGAGCAAGACAGTCAGAGGCTCTGTGGCCACACCTGGACCTCGGGTTCCCTTCTAAGGTGATTAGGAAGGACCTCATTAGAGGAATGTTGGCTGGAGAAAGAGTGGTAGAGGTGAGAATTGACCAGACGAGCCCCAGATGAGGTGGGTTTGTGAACAACAATACAGGAATCCAAGCAGCCACATTGATAAATCTGGAATTTAATTAACTGAGCTCAGGACCACCTGTATACAGACCCCTCCCCCACCACCCTGTTCGGGGTCCAAACAAGTGGCCTCAAACTGGAAAGTTCCAGAATTTTTAAAAGAGAGAATCACAAAAGACAGCCTGTTAGAAATAATTTAGCTCGAATCTTTCATTAATTTTCAGTTGACTGACACCTGTATCCTGCTTCTTTTGTTGAGTAGGTTAATTTTTCTCCTGTAGGTACAGTTCATTCTGATTCTCTTATGGGACTTATACCCGGAGTAATTTTCCATTTTCCTGAATACAGGGCACTAATTAAATGCAGGGCTTAAGATGGTGTCAATTATGCTAAGCTACAACAGAAGCAAGACCTCATAGCCTTCGGTCCAAAATTCTCTTTAACTTGTCCTGCCTGCTGAGTGCCAGAGATACCTCTTTCACTGGTCCCCCTTGTTCCCAAGGACCTGGCTGGGTTTAGACTGCTCACACTAAGTTGCTCAAGGGTTCAGCATAGAAGCAAAGTGGCCCAGGAACCTGTAAGAAGGCCCCTGGACAAGAATTCAGAGAAGAGGATCCCTGAGGGCATGCAGAGGAGCACAATGACTAAGAAGGGGCGACCAGAAAAACTTAACAAAACTTAGAATTTAGATGAGACCTCAGCTCAAATGAAGACCACTGGTGCAGATTTCAGACTCAAAAAACTGTGAGAAGACTCTAAGCAACTACTGGCTGATGAAGTTGAAGCCAGAGAGTTGACTACAGAAAGGTACAGATGTACACAGCCCAAGCAAATAGCCTGCTGGGCGGTGTTTGAAACAACCAGCCTTGTAACTTCTTTGGAGCCATGGAGCTGGAGCATGAAGCCTTCTTCTATCATAGTAACTGCAAGGAGCCAGGCATCACAGCACTTACGAAGACTGCAAAGGAGGCTGACACAGACCACACACAATTTGAGAAAAACAGTCCCCATTGTGACCCACACAATGAAAAGAACAACCCCCAGTGGCTCATGGTGGATGTACAGTTGCTCAGATAATGAAGCATTTCACCTCCCTGGCTGAGCTTCAGATCTATCACTGAGCTCACAAAGCTACTGGTGGTCCATTAAAGAAACGTGGCCCTCTTCACTTGCCAGACTCTCGATTCAGCTCCTTACCCAAGAAGAATTCAGTTTTATTTTGAGCCTCAAAGAAAAGGAATCAAGTTAACTGAGCTACTATTATTGAAATGCATAGGCCATTAGTCCAAAGAAGGCCAGCTTTTATAAGACAAAAGAGAGATTGTTTGTAATGTCACCTGGGATGTGTACATAGGTGGTTTGGTGTACTTTCTTCAATAAAAGATTTAATAATTAAAAAAAAATTTTAGAGAAGAGGCCTGGACTGTAACAGCAGTATGTGACTGCTGGAGTAGGTTGACTGCATGATGCAAAGGCAGAGTCACTTACTCTGACCTTAGGTGCATGAGAGCCCTTACAGAATTATATAAAAAGTAAACAAAACAAAACAAACAAACAAACAAACAGAAACTGAACAATTG